ACCCATATCCAACAATGGAAGGATAGAGAATAGGTTAAAAAAAAACTATTGTACAAATTTTGTTGCAGCCTATCGTTGCATCTAATTTATCCCACAAGTAACGATAAACATTTGCAGAACCGCTCTCTTAAAATCTTTTTCCAGATCAAAGCTGACACGCAGCACAGATCCTTCTTTTGAAAGATTTCGGTCTTTGAAAAAGAATTTCAAGGCACTTTCAAGGCTTTAATGGTGTTGATTGTAGGATTCTGTCTTTTTTTCTTCCTCTTGTTTAAATACTTAAATCTTCTCACAAAGATTACAGTTGTCTTTCTTTGGCAGATGAAAACCAATATGAAAATGTGACCGGCATATTTAACGAAACTTACTGAGTGATACAATTTCAGTTAGTTTTTCACAGTCAACGAGATATTTTTTGTATAGCCAATACAAATTTGTAACGATCTCAAACTCGGCTGAAAGATATAATTAATTGCTTTGTTACTACAGTATTGCGAAGGGATAGCCGGTAGTTGTTTAATGTATTTCTTTAGCAACAAGACTTGATTAGAAAGAAATTTATTTTTGGGGCTTCTTTCCCTCTTTGGTCTTGTTCAGCCATGTTATTAGTTAGGACATTTTATTTCTATATCGTAGTGTCATTTGAAAAATATTAAGCGTTTTAATTAAAAATTGTTGGCAAACTTTTACTTTTCCATTGTTATATGGAATATAATATTCAATGATTTTGATCTTTGCATAGACTTAGCCTTTTTTTGTTTAATTGGGATTTCCACCCTACAGGATAGGATCCAATCTCTTTGCTTGTGAGCTTACCATACCCACAATAGTTTTCAAAAATCAAAACTCTATCTTCTTTACTTATTTTTTATTACTGCAATTTTTATTAAGACTGCTTGGGTTCTACTTACTGCTTTATTTTTTCCTGTGCATTTTTCAATTTTCCTCGAAGCCTTTTTCAGAAGTGGCTTTTGCTTTGGGATTCCTCTTTGCCCTATCAGTAAAAGATCTTCAATGGGTTGCATACTTTCAAGGTTCTCAGTAACAGACTACCCTCTTGTTTAATTTCTGGATTCCATGACATTTCAAAATGTTCAAGATGACTATTTAGTGAACCGACATCAGTATTTAAACGTGTTTGATGTAGTTACAGCATCCGGCAATGATGCTGAAGATAAAGAATAATCCAAATGTTTGCTGACATTTTGTCGTGTAATTTTTGGAGAGCTATCCGGTACATCATTATTAATCCACTTCTGAACACGATAATATGTACTATTGTTAAAAAAATCTTTTTGTGAAACAGTTTCGTTTAATACAAGTGGTGGGTCTTCGTGCATTTGATGCTCGTTGTTTTTTAATGCAGTTGATGATAATAGAGAGTTATTGCAAAGTTGACAGTGCCTGCGCTGCACTATTTACACCGCGCTACTTTGACAATTTTGATATACGGCTGACACATTGCAAAGAGAGATATTGCTTAAATGTATGCACACTTTGTTGCGTTATTTACGTTGTTTGTTTTATTTTCATTTGTTGGCAAATTATTTTAATAATTTTTCGACTGTTCTAACAACCATCCAAATTTCGTCATTTTGTGTCATGTGGAACAATTTCACCCAATCATGTCAACATTGGACTGATAATTGCATTAAGTGCACTACACTGCATTACATACTTGCTTGTATGGCAGTCAAACCACCAGGTTTTTTGGCGTTGTACCACCAACATTAGAAAACTACCTACAGATGCAATAGCTTACAGTTAGGATGTAAATTCAAATTTTTTGCTTGTTCAATATTATCTTTTAAGTTGTTTGTTACTTATATATTATATTAATTCATTCTAAATTTGTGTTTTAATTATAAATACCTAAAATTATATATTATGTTGGAAATAAACATAATATATAATTTTAGGTAGAAGAAAAACAACACCAAAACATGAAAACTACTTACATATAGAGGAATAATAAGAATGTAATAATATTTTAGCTTTTTATTTATAAAATTTACACATTAATTTTCATATTTTTGTAATCTTTTTAATAAAGAATCTATAATTTTTAATTGTGATTCAATAAGAGCTATGTGCTCTTTTTTCGGCTAGGTCTGCTTTCATCTTTTCTCTTTCAAATTCCCTCTGTAATTTTGTTTCATTAAATTCATTCTCCCATTTTTTTTCCTGAAATCTGAATTTTTTCTGTTCTATATTTAACCGTCGTTCTTCTAATTCAGTTTTTTTTTCTTCTAAAGCTAATTCCCTGGCTCTTATATTAAAATCTTTTTCTTTCTTTCTGTTTAGATAGTCCAAACCATTTGTACGCAACAGCACACTTTTATTATGCCTCCTTTTTACTGGTCCTAAAAATTTAAAGTGTAAATACTTATCTTTACTTTATTACACACTTTGGATAAATAAACATACCCATTATTTCTTTTTTATGGTCTTCTGCTTAACCTAAAGTTCTTGGAATATATAAAATAATAAAAAGTTAGTGAAATAAGCAAATTTTCTGAATATCATTTTTTTGCATTTTTCTTACATTTGTTCAACAAGATATATGTTTTAATATAAATAAATACTAACATGGTGTATTTTGCGTTGACTCTACTTCTTCGGCCACCATATTGTCTACAATTACCTCTTCACCTCGATGTTCTGGTAAAATAACTGAAAAATAGTTATGTTAAACAATATTATTATGAAGAAGAAAGGCATATTATTTACCATAATTATGATCAACCTCAACTACTTCTGTTTTGTCTCTGGTCTCACTTTCTAGGTATACTGAGGAATGATTATCCCTCATTTTCCGACCCAATTCAATTATTTGCTTCTCCTTAGAAACAGTTCGCCTCTTTTTCGAAGGAGGTGCCAAAGTTAAATTTGCACACATATCTGCTATTCCCTACAAACATCTGTCCATTTCACTATACACTTCTACTTCTGATTTAAAACAAAACTTTAATTGTTATATTTTGTTGAATACAAAATAGTCTAGATATCATACAATATGTATACTATTCTTTCAAAATGTGTTTTTTCTGAACAGAGACATTTATTTATTATCATGAGTCTTATTTGTTAATTTTATTAATAACGAAACAAACCGTTTCTGGTCTGCTTCAGTTTTTTTTCCAAATATCCAGCAAGAGAAACAAATGATCCTTTAGAGTTCTTATAATAAAGGATTTTCCTGTTGCACTTTTCATGTTTGCCTGAACTAACCTCCAATTTTCTGGATAGGTCAATGGATTTTGACCTAAAAACTTGTTTTAACAAACACAAATCGTCATCAGACGTAAATCTGATTCGTTTGCTACTGTCAGATGTACTCATTTTGAAAAAAAAAATAGAAATAAACTTGGTTTAAATGACACAAACACGCGAGATATCTCTGCACAAACAACAAACATAACCAAGAAAAAAAATAGCGCCAACGAATTCCGCAAAGCGCAACGGCTCCCCTAATGACGGTAAGCCTTATTTTCAATAACGCAGCGTAAGCAAAATATCACATCTGCACATGCTCTACTGTCAAAATAACGCATGCTGTAATACATCAAGTGCAAAAGTGACTATGCAATATCTCTCTATTGCCTTGCCATACACAGTTAAATGTGTTTTAGACTTGTTGACCGATAGGTTGTCACATCCCGACTCGGCTGGGCTTTACCCAAAACATCGTAATCATGCAAAAGTAAACTAACGATTTTTTATAAGTACGTTTACGATGTTTTGCCTTTCACTGGTAATGACTTGTGTTGGTAACGATAAACTGCATTATTATTTTTAATTTCAAAACCGTGTTCTTTCGGCTTACGATGTTTTGTTCACCGAAAAAGCTCGTTGTTAGGATCACTTTCGATAAAAAATCAAAAATTCGAAAAATTGTTGGTTATTGTTCCTTCCAGGAGAAACGATGTTTTTCCTGGAAGGGCTCGATATATTGAACTGACAGAGATAAAGATCTTTCGATAAATAAAAAAATGGAAACTTTTCTAAATATCCATTTGGTTTAATTTTTCTTCTGCGTAAAAAATATTATAATTATATATCATATATCATAAACAATATGTTTTATTTAATAAACGTTGGTTAATGAAAGAAACTAATGGCATTTCATTACCCTGTATAACACAAAACATGAATCTGAAATAAAAATGAATATTTTAGTATTAAAGTGGTAATTATACATCACGCAACCGGCTATTACGCTACGCTTATTTGGAAATTATATTTAAAAAAATATTATTTGCTATAATATTGTCGTTGTCACAATGAAAACTATAAATAAAAAAACATTTTTAATAAAAGACTCATCACTTATCAGGTTCGCCTATAAAGCTGGTATTACATTTGGGCAACTGTCAAATTACAGCAGTGAGGAAAGGCTGGATGTTCTGTTAAGTTTAGTTTTAAATGTCGTAAGCTTAACTTTTACAATATTCTTCGTTTCCAATTTACTAGAAACAGACCTATCATCGCTAAGAAAAATTTTCGAAATTATATCCTTAACAACCGTAATCATAGTAAACTTAGTCAGCTTTAATAAGTTAGTACATAATAAGAATATTTGGAAACAGTTCTTTGAACTTATTTACTTGATAGAAAGACACAACGGAGTAAATTATACTTACAAAGTAATAATTGTTGTAAAAGTAATATTTTGGTTGTTTCTATTTTTAGCATACTGCTTTTCCGTTTACGAGTCTGGTTTCGACTATAAATACATATATCTGTACATTCTAATGGGTTTGCAAATAACGATCACAAGCATATTTATATCAGAAGTTTCAACGATCCTAACAGCCCAGCAACATTTATTTTACAAAAGTCTTGACCATTTTTGTACCCATCAGTTTCTAGGAAGAACCAAAATTTCAAAAAATTTATTGACTTTAAAACATTCTTATCAAAGTTTTTATATGCTCGTGGAATATTTGAACTTGATTTTTGGCATGAGAATTTTGGTTTCTTTGATATTTATATTTTTTATGTATCTCAATAAGATCAATATTTTCTTGGAAATATTAAAACACGAAGAAAAAGCTAGTCTTGCAGAATATATTGGGGATATTGTGTATGTGGTCACATTAGGGGTAAGTATACCAATATTTGTTTTTGTTACTCCAAAAAATGTATTCAGCCTACCTAAAGTATCCTGTTTTAACATAATAATAATTAAACTTAGGTATAAGTAACTAAAATATAAGTAACAATTTGAGAACTATCATAACGGACAAACTAGATCCAGACATAGAAAGAAAACGCAGAATCTCAGTCACTAAAACTACTTTTATAAAAATAAATACATTTTTTAACAATAATTATCCGATTAAAACCAAAATAAAGAACGGTTATGTACTAATAAATAACTACAATATTTATTACACTGGGAAAGACAAAACTGATCATCGATACGGAGTAGCTTTCATCATAAGCAACCCTATTAGAAAATCGGTGCTAGGTGTGATTCAAATCTCAGAAAGAATAATATTGCTAAAAATTCAAGCACGGAACTGTAATATTAATATGATCCAAATCTATGCTCACACAGCTGATAAGACCGAAGATGAGATCGAAAAGTTTTATTCAGAATTGCGCAATACATTCAGGTTAACAAAATCTAGAGATATTACTTACATCTTAGGAGACTTTAATGCAAAAATTGGAGTTGAAAATATAGTTGGATAGTTCGGACTAGGAACTAAAAACGAGAGAGGAGAAGGACTCATAGAATTCTGCCAAGAAAAGTATATGGTAATTGCCAATACTTGGTTTCAGCTTCCTAAGAGAATACTATATAAATGGACGTCTCCTTCACATACAGAAAACCGCATTGTCAGAAACCAGATAGACTTTATACTCGTAAATAGCAGATATAAAAACTCTATAACATCAGTTAAAACTTATCCTGGAGCAGATGTTAACTCAGACCACAATTCGTTAGTGGCTGACGGAAAAATAAAATTAAAAATAATTGAACCCAGAAAACAACAAGCAAAAATTAATGTAACAATGCTACAAAACGAAGAAATAAAAAACGAATTAAAAAATAATGTGAATGTAAATATGCAAAAAGAACTAACTTACAACAAACAAATTATGGATGTAAATAAAAAGTGGTATATTATAAAAAACACATTACTGAAACCAGCTTAGAAAAAACATTCGATACAACATAGGTCAGAGACTAAAAAACAATGGATGACAGAAGAAATACTACTACAGATAAACGAAAAAAGAGAATACAAAGGAAAAGATCATCAGAAATATAAAGAAATATAACAAATAATTAAGGAAAAAATCAAAACAGCTAAGAAAATCTATTTGGCGAAACAATGTTAAGAGATAGAAGAACTAGAAACAAAATATGATATGAGAAATATGCACAAAAAAAATTAGAGAAGTGACGGAAATGGGTCGAAATAGACAGCAAGAACACATAAAAGACAAAAAAGAAGTACTACTAATAGATTTACCAGAGAAATTAAGACGATGGGAAGGGTACATTAGAGAACTTTTCTAAGATGAAAGATGTGAAATGTACAAAATACAAGAATTAAATCCTTTAGAGAGACAGAAGATCACGATAGATGAAATCAAATATGCTTTCAACAACTCTAAAGACAATAAGACAACTAGATTAGATGAAATACCAGTAGAACTGTTAAAACAGTTTATTCAACATGGTGTACGAAACGGGAATAATACCACAAGAGTGGCTGAAGTCAGCATTTATAACCATCCCTAAAAAACAAGCAGAAAAAGAGTGCTCTGAGTCATACTTTAAAAGTACTGCTGACAGAAATACATAAGAGAATATACGAAAGGCTAGAGGAGCAGAAGGCTAAGAAGAAAAAAGAGTTAAATATTAGAAAATGGTACATAGATCTGATACGTCATATAGTAAGAGGAAATCGATATATAATACTACAACTGATCCTTAAAGGCAAGATAGACTGCCGTAGAGGTTTAGGAAGGAAACAGGTTTCTTGTTTAAAAAAAATTGGTGAATAGACTCAGATATCCAATGTAGGACAATTAGTCCATGTGACAAAAGATCGCAAAGCCTTGGCCAACGTCGGATAATTTTGATATGGCGCGTGAAGAAGATAACTACAAGAAAATATTTTGAAAAGGAATTCATAAAAGCGAACTTGAGGTACTTTTTCCGGGGTGGTATTTTTCTTTCAGTTCAGCGATTTGGCGCTCGAGGATGTGGACCTCTTGTGCCCGGGTTTAGGGTTTTTTTTTTTAATTTTTTTGGTGGCTTTCGTCTTTTTATTAGTAGTTTTGTATTTTTGTTGTAATTGTTTTGAGAGATATCTGAAAGGTAATATCATTAGTCATTATAAAAATTGCTAGTGCTTTGTACTGGGTTGTCTTTTGTTAATAGAGCTATGGTTTTTTAGACTTTATATATTTGCCAGAATTTGCTGTTTTGGTTTTTTGTGCTTCCATCGATGGAACGCATCATAACTTTTATCTCTCGCAGTATCGGGCTTAGGTGGTTCTCTAGCTCAGCAAACTTTGTTCTGGTTTTTTTCTTTCATCCTGTCTGTCACCCTTGCTTGTTTAAGTTATCTGAATAGGAAACGTTCCAAAACGTATTGGCTTATATTTACCGCTTCCCTGAGGCTGTTATTATTTTCTGCTTCTAATCCTCAGTCTAATTTTTGTATTTAATCTTAATTTGCTTTTTCGACCAATGAGTCCTCATATTATTGTTGGAAGTAAGCTTATCGGCCTGTAGTTTTGCGGAAACGTATGGTTTTGTCCTGGCTTTGGGATCATAATACCGTGGGCTTCCTTCCATCGGTTTGGGAAGAGCCTGTATGTGAGTGTCGCATTTGTGATGTATGTTAAAAATACAATTGCTTTCGCTGGAAGATATTTTAGAGCTCTGTTTGAAATTTTATCTAGCCCAGGTGCTTTTTTCGGTGAACTATTTTTTATTAAAATGATATGAATGTGTTTCGAAACTATTTTACGGATTGTATTTTGTATTAGTTAATACTTAAAAGGTCGGGGCTTTTTAAATGTATGTTAGGCTAGTCCACTCTCATATGTTTTTGAACAAAAACCTAATTTTTCTCTTAATAATTTTGTAAAGTTTTATTATGGATTTTTAATTATGTCGCTAAAACTGAAACTTAACCTAAAGCTTATTTTTTGATTTTTTTTTTAATTTATTATCGTAATTTTTGTTGCAGATATGGGTTTTAACTTGGGCCCGAGGCGGAGACAACATTGATCAAACAGGAATAAATATAATAGATAGATATCGTGTATTACAAACGAAAATCAATGATCCTGTAATGAAGGAACAAGTTGTATACTTTATAAGATTTCTTCAAAAATTACGCCCAGAGTTGACTGCTTGTGGATTTACTACTATAAACAGAAAACTTATAACCTCTTTTTTCATTACTTTAACTCCATACATAGTAATTGTTTTGCAGATTCATACAAACATTGACTAATAACTATATTAACTCTTTTAATTATATTTAACTAAGTAAAACTCTTATTTATTTATTAATTATTTTATTGTTCATATTAATATGGGACATGTAAATGCTCCTTTAATAATATATATTTTTAGAATATGTTTAAACATTTTTTATATATTTTTTAAACTTTTTGACTTTAAGCGTAATATAAACAAATTTTGTAACCACTTTACGAGGATATACTAAACTGGAAATTTAAATTAATGCGCGAAATAGAATAAAAATTAAACACAATAACATTTAAAGCAAACGTCAATAAAAAGTAATAAGTTAAGTGGAAGATTGTGTGTTTAAAACTATGAATATATTGCCAGATTCAATTTGAGACTAATTTGAAACTTGTCAGAATTATATTAGCCAAATGTGAATTTGTTATCAGTAGTAATATCCCTAGGACATTGATAACAGACGAGATAATTTCATGACAATCGAAAGCTCGTTCCTTGGTAACAGCACGAAGCCGAAGGCTGAGCTCAGCCTTCGGCTTCGTGCTGTTACCAAGCAACGAGCTTGAGAAATTTGTCATGAAATTATGAGGAATTCATCAATGTCCGAGGGATATTCGGCGGATACTTTTTCGAAAAAAAAATCATAACTCAACATAACGAAACATTTATTTATTAAAAGTACAGTTAGTGAAAGTACAAGTATTAAAATTTAAGTTAACATTAGATTCGTTGCTGTTCTGTACTATAGAAGATCTATTACCACGCATAATATTTATAATCTTGTTGTGGTGTTCTTGATCGAGATTCAAGTATGGTTTTATAGAAACGTGACATTTTGAAATTTATTTGGATGAAGTTGTCAAACTCGAACGTGTTGTCATAGGGATTGAAAATTGCACTGAATGCAATTATCAGTCCAGTGTTGACATGATTTGGTGAAATTGTTCCACATGACACAAAATGACGAAATTGGAATGGTTGTTAGAACAGTCGAAAAATTATCAAATTAAAATGTATTTTATACCAATTTTAAGTTACAACAAATACAGAATTTAATAATTAAAGTAGATCTGCTATGACTTGACAATGACTTTGACTCAATACATCTAAAATCAGCTCTATACATACGGACACATGAAGTGATACTGTAATAAACCATTTGTATACGTCAACCACAGTGAAAGTACTTTTTTTCTTTTATTTATTTACGCTGTAACAAGTGTTATTAGCGACCTAAAAAATATAATACAGGTAAAGTTAGAAAAAACCTCATTAATAAGAATCTGGTTGAAGGATGCTAAGCGGGCTAGTTCATCTGCTTCTTCATTTCCTTGTATACCTGAATGTGATAAAACATGAACAATGAAACATGAAGTCAACAGTGATCTTATATTATTTAGAATCTCTTTTTTTGATTGGATATGTGAGGCAATTGAATCGGTTATTATGAGAGACCTTTTATGTGGATAAGTGCTTGTAATATTGCAAACAACTATGCAGTGTATAACGAAGTAATGGTATTGAATTTAAATTTTAAGGATGTATTGGATGTGAGGATGGCTGCACCAATACCGTCTGAAGATTTGGATGCGTCAGTGTATATCTTATAGTGATTTTTATAAGTTTCCATTTCTATTAAGAATAATTGTTTGATCAGGTCTGTTATAGTCTCACTTTTTTTATATTTACTAAGGTAAGTATTAATCTTGGAAATTGGTATTAACCAAGGTGAAGTTAGGAAATTTGTTGGGAGAATGTCAGGAAATTCAAGATGTAGGACATGAAGTTTCTTCTAACTCTTTCGTAAAATGGTGGATCTAGTCTTGTTGTAGAGAAAGTGTCTTGAAATCGTTCTGTGAACGTAATGGTATAAGTAGGGTGTTCTTTATTACTAGCTATTTTAGAAGCATATGAGAGAGTAAGGTATTTGCATCATAAACTTAGGGGTGGTTCTCCTGTTAAGCATTGTAGACTTTTAACTGGTGTCGTTCGAAACGCACCTGTAGCTATTCATAGAGCTGTGTTTTGAACAGTTTCTAAGGTTTTCAATACTGATACTTTGCTTGATGAATAAACTGTCGCACCATAGTAGAGTTTGGATCTAACTAAATATTTATATAAGTACTGTGTAGTACTTCTATGTAACAGTGTATTTTGATCTGCTTCCCAGTTTTTGCTGGAAATAGTTTTCATACACTTTAGTCCTGTTTGGGATAATTTTTTAAGTTCTTCTGTATGTTTTTTTTTAGGAGAGCTTATGGTCGAAAACCATACCTAAAAACCAGATATTATTTGTGAAACTGAGTGTTTGATTATATGCTTCAGATGTGGAGTTAGAGTGTTATGTTTTCGTGTAAATAAAATACGTTCAGTTTTTGTCGGTGTATCCGGTATCTAATTGTCCTACAGCATAATTCTAACTGATTGAGGGGAGGACTTTAAACTATACAAAAGTAATTTCTCCAGAAAACTATGCAGTTTGCGTGTTTATTCTGCAAATTACACACAACGCATCTTTCATCTATTGAAGCACCTTGTATCGATTCTTCTACATACTGAAGCACCTTTATGATCAAAATAATAGGCTAAATATGCAATCGACAAAAAAAAACAGCCGTAAAAAATATTGTGTCCCTTACCAACGCAATAAGTAAAAGCAGTATTCAGCAAAAGCAGTATGGATCGACTTAGAAATCCTGAGATAAAAGCCAAGCTTACAAATAGCATTAATAGTAATGTTGCTTTAACAACCAACACTGATGATAATGAAAGAGACTGGATCAACTTAAGGGACGCTATATGCAACGGTGCATAAAGAAGTAATTGGTGACTCCGAGCGGAAGAAGAAGAACGAGTGGATGACAGATGAAATATTACACCTTATGGACAGAAGGAGGGAAAATAAGAATAATCCCGAACAATATAAAATACTGGATAGAACTGTCAGCAGAAAGATAAAAGAATCCAAAGAGAAATGGTTGCAAGAAAAATGTCAAGAGATAGAAGAGCTAGAACGAAGACACGATAGTTTTAACATGCATAAAAAAATCAAGGAGTTTACTTATACTTACAAGAAAAAAACAGTTTGGTAGGTTAATAGACGCGAACAATAAACTTATTGTAGATAAAGAAGAACAGTTACAGACTTGGGCAATCTACATAAAAGATTTGTTTACGGATTATCGTCATATTTCTACGAACACTCTTGATCTGAATGGACCAAAAATATTAAAAAGTGAGGTGATAAAAGCTATAGATCAAACGAAAGATGGGAAAGCAACAGGATGCGATGAAATACCAGTCGAATTCTTAAAAGTTTTTAACGCGAACAACCTGAATGTAGTATTGGAACTGTTTAATAAGATATACGATACTGGCCAAATTCCATCGGACTGGTTGAAATCTACATTTGTGCCCCTTCCCAAGAAATATAATTCTAAGACGTGTAGTGAATATCGCCTTATAAGTTGAATGAGCCACACCCTTAAAGTATTTTTGCGTATTATTTATTCCAGAATACGAGCAAAATTAGAACACAACATAAGTAAAACACCCTTCGGTTTTAGATGCGGTTTTGGAACTCGAGAACCCCTCTTTGCAATACAAGTTTTGATTCAAAAATGCCTGGATCAACAGAAAGATGTTTACGTCTGTTTTATCGACTATGAGAAAGCATTCGATACTATCAAACATGACAAACTCATAGAACTATTACGTCTTTCAGGACTTGACACTAAGGACATCCAGATTATAAAAAATCTATATTGGAATCAAACAGCCCACATGAAGAATGGACATATGGTGAGTGAAAACATAACCATTTCTAGAGGGGTAAGACAGGGCTGTATTCATTCGCCACTGCTTTTCAACCTGTACACGGAACAAATATTTCTAGAGGCACTAGAAGAGTACAATGAGGGCATCAAGATTAATGGCGTACCAATAAGTAATTTTCGATATGCAGATGATACTATTATACTGGCCGATAACATCGAAGATTTACAGATGATGCTACATAGAGTTAATACAACTGGAAGCCGATTTGGACTGAAGATCAATAGAAAGAAAACTAAATTTATGGTGATCAGTAAAAAAAAATTTCAACATATCGACCTGCATATTGAAGACGAACGTATTGAAAGAGTACACCGATTTAAATATCTGGGATATACAGTAAATGACAAGTGGGACCCAGAAGTAGAGATTAAGATCCGAATTGAAATAGCAAGATCCAAATTCATCAAAATGAGAAAGCTCTTAAGCAACCGCAACCTAAGCATTAACCTCCGATGGCGCGCCACGAAATGCTACGTACTCTCTACGCTACTTTACGGCGTAGAAGGGTGGACGTTAACAGCAGCAACTATAAAGAAGTTAGCGGCTCTAGAAATGTGGCTGTATCGACGCATACTGAGAATACCTTGGACAGACAGAGTGACCAACACAGAGGTATTAAGACGAATGGGTAAAGAGGTGGAATTGTTAACAACTGTTAAAAGGAGGAAAGCGTCATACCTGGGCCATGTGTTCCGTAATGATAAGTACAGTCTGCTACAGCTTATTGTGGAAGGCAAGATTGAAGGTAGAAGAGGTTTGGGCAGAAAGAAGAAATCCTGGCTGAGAAACTTGAGAGAATGGTTTCAAATACCAGAAGCTGCGAACATAATTCATGCGGCACAAAACAGAGAAACCTATCGTATGATGGTCGCCAACCTTCGGTAGAAGACGGCACATAAAGAAGAAGTATTCAGCAGAATGAAGTACACTAAAATACACTGAATAACACTGATTTCACGTAACAATCTTATCCTGATATTTAAAGGTTCTCAAAAATAACTTGTATTTTTTTAAAAGTATAGAAATGTAAGTTGGTAACACTTTTTTAACTGTCCGCCAATCTGACAGCTGTCAAGTGATTTATGCTTAGTTTAGTTTGGCATACTAGTAGGAATAGACCTGACGCCTCAACAACGCTTCCAAATTGTACAAATTTACTTTAAAAATTGTAGTTCTGTTCGAAAT